GAAGGGATAACTCAAGGGAATGTCTCATCTAGCTCTTAGCACCAAGTGTTTTCCTAATATAGAGATAGCAGCACACAGTAAATAAATGTGATGCCATTACTCATTATTATTACCCCACCTAAAAAGCAAATAGGTATCATTCTACCTGAAAAGCCCTAATGAATCATAACGGAAGATCTTTAGAACTGTGTAGAAAAGGATATGTAGGCTAAGGGTGAACTCAGTGGGGAGGAGTGCCATGACTAATTAGCCATGACCACCTGAGTCAGGAGGAAGGGAGGCACCACATTGGCAGACCCTTTCGCACTACTCGATCTCTTCCCTAATTTTGAAACCACAAAATTTCTGAGTGCAATTGGAATTTTATATATCTTTCTAAACAGAATAGCCTGATATCCAGAAGTCCAGCCTCCGTGCCCACTATATTTCTGGTTTGAAAGCTAATCAACTGGCATTCTGGTTCATTGATTAGTTTTTTACAAAGTTGGTTATATAAACTCCAAATGTAAAGTATAATCCATTCTCACTGAACTGACAAGGTTAATTATCTGAGTCAACAATATTGATAAACAAACCCAAACTATAGCAAATTCACTAAAGTAAATCTTTGTGACCGCTTAGAAGCCAAGTAGCAAGGCTGGACATCCTCTTAAGAAAATAAATGTTAGGAGGGTGGGACAAAATGGCTGATCACAAACATGCTCTGCCAGATTATCTCAGAAATAAGGAAAAGTTTCATATGAAATAAAGCATAGCTCAGGTGTAATTCAGAGGAAAAAAATGTCAGAATCTGCTCTAATTCTACAGGAAAAAGTTTCAGAGCAAAACAAGAAGGAGCAAGACATCAGCAGAGATTAACCCCCAAGAAACTTGGACCCTACGGAAAGAGTAGGTGGGGATTTTGTTTTTGTTCCCTCACTGGTCAGTAGTCAGCAGGCTCCTGAACTACCAGAGAACTTCCATACCCTCACAAGCTCAAGAGCTCCTTCTTCCAGTAGACTGCGAGCTTCTTAAAGATAAAGCCCAGGATGCCAGGCCCCATGGGGTCACTCCCAGGTACCACAGACCGAAGGTGAGAGGGCAGGCGCCATACTGCATCTCCACCCATGGTGTGCCGCTATCCTCCCCAGAGAGCTTCAGCACTTTAGCTTTCATGTCCATGGACCCCATGCAAACATTTCCCAGTATCTGCCCAGAATGCCACAGAAACTGGTGGCTCTGGGTAACTGTGTGATCCTAGAACTAAGACATTTCAGGAGGGTTTCCTTCTGGGGACAAAGGACAAAGGGGACCAGACTGCCAGCTCACCTTGTTTCAGGCTCTTCTCCTTCTCCTCTCCCATGCCTAATGCTGCCAAGTAGAAGTTCCCATTGAGTTGCCACAGGTGCCCCAAGAGATGACTGAGCCAAGACTCTCAACATAGCCTGCTTCACCTTTGTTGGCACATCCACTACACTGAAGCTTCCACAGAGAGTGGGGCTCATACAGTTCCTCTGACAAGACCAAGGGGTACTCAGACTCTGAGCTCTCTGCCAGTCAGCCCTCCCACGTGTTCCGCAATAGAGGGACAGTAAGCCTATGCGAATACTCCTTGGACAACTCAGGACGAACACGGTCAGGAACTGAACTACAGGGAATGGGTAACAGGTCTGCAGATCCCAAGACCCCAGGAATCTATTGTTTAGCTTGGGGGCAGAAGGGTAGATTTTGAACTAATCTTGGGATGCATGAGAGTCCATGAGGACAGAATAGAAAGGAGAGAGCAGTGTGGGTCCAAGCCACACAGCACTCAAGGAGCACCTCTGCCTCCACAGGACAGCTGGATCCTGGGCAGGGAAGTTTCCAGCCTGTGGTGCCACTACTGGTGAGCTCAGCTAGTTGGTGCTGCTGCTTATGGCCAGACACCAGCAGGAGATCCCTGGGGCAGGGGAGAAGATGGAAGAGGGAAACCCACCCCTGACAACGAGTTTGCGAATTACAGATGGCCCCTCTACCCTGAGCAGACTTTGTGGCTTGCTGGGGCCCCTTCAGCCCCTCCCTGGCAGCTTTCCCCAAGGAGACAGATAACACTATATATGAGGGAAAAGAAGCCCTATTCGATAAATGGTACTGGGAAAACTGGATAGCCACATGCCAAAGAATGAAACAAGATCCCTGTCTTTCACCATACACAAAAATTAACTCGAGTTATATTAAAAACTTAAATGGAAGGCATGAAACTATAAAAATTCTAGAAGAATTTTTAGATATTTAGATATTTAGAATTTAGATATTACCCAAATGCAAACATAGTAACCAAAAAAAATTATAAGATGGGATTTAATTAAGAAGCTTCTGAACAGCAAAGGAAATAATCAACAGAATGAATAGATAATACTACAGAATGGGAAAAAATACATACAAGAAAGGACCAATAACTGGTATCTGCAAATAACTCAAACAAGGAGGAAAAAAAAAAATCTCATCAAAAAGTGGGCAAAAGTCCATTTGTTTATTTTAGTTCTTATTGCAATTGCCATGGAAGTCAGAATAAGGTCTTTCCCCAGGCTGGTATTTTGAAGTGTTTTTCCCATGCTTTCTTTGAGGATTTTTATCATTTCATGCCTTAAATTGAGGTCTTTTATCCATCTTGAATCAATTTTTGTGAGTGAAGAAAGGTGCAGGTCCAGTTTTAGTCTTTTACATGTGGATATTCAGTTCTCCCAGCACCATTTATTGAATACGGAGCCTTTCCCCCAGTGTATGCTCTTGTTTGGTTTATCAAAGATTAGATGACTGTAAGATGTTAGTTTAACCTCCTGGTTTTCTATTGGTTCCAGATGTCTATGTCTTTATTTTTGTGCCAATACCATGCTGTTTTGATCACTGTGGCCTTGTAGTACAGCCTAAAGTCTGGTAGGCTGAATTCCCCTGGCTTTGTTTTTATTACTAGGAACTGCTTTAGCTATACAGGTTTTTTTTCTGGTTCCATACAAAACAAAAAATTATTTTTTCCAAGTCTTGAAGGTATGAAGGAGTTGGGAGGTCACAGTGTGTGACACACCTTTTAGGGGGCGATACACAACTATAAGAGGGACTTTACCTAAAAAATGCAATGTAACCTGGTTCAAAAAACTGAAAAAAAAAAAAAAAAGGAAAAAAAACCTATTAGGACTTAATTTATGGCCTAACATAGGGTCTATCCTGGAAAATGTCCCAGGGGCACTGGGAAGAGTGTGTTTGCTGTTGTTGTTTGGGAACATGATCTGTATATGTCTGTTAGATCTAGTGGGTTTATTGTATTAAGTCCTTTATTTTCTCACTTATCTATCCATCATTGAAAGTGAGATATTAAACTCAATAATTATTATAGAAATGTATTTCTCTGTTCAATTATATAATTTGGAGCTTAATATATTTTGATGAAAAATAAGAAAGAAAGCCAGACTTTATGGATAGTCCCTCTAGGACACCTGATCAAATGACTGTACTTTGATTAAAATATTAGTTTTGTTTTTCATCAAAAAAATGGGCAAAAGATTAAATGGAAGTTTTTCTAAAGAAGACAGACAAATGGCCAAGAAATACGTGGAAAAAATCTTAGCATCACTAATTACCATGGAAATGAGGATTAAAACTATAATGAGATATCACCTATGCCAGAATGGCCACTATTAAAGAGTCAAGTAACAATATATGTGGTCAGTCTACACTGCAGCACAATACGCAACTGCAAAGATGTGAGATCAATCTAAGTGCCCTTCAATATGCTGAAGAGATAAAGAAACTCGGGTATATATGTATGGGCGTATGTACCATAAAGGGAATGAAATAATGTCATTTACAGCAACATACGGGGCCATTACCCTAAATAAAGTAGCTCATGAATGGAAAACCAAATACCCGATATTTTCACTAATCACTGGGAGCGAACTGATGGGTACACTTGGGCACAAAGCAAAATGGAGGACACGAGAAACCAAGATGTGGAGAGGATGGGAATGTGGGCGGGGGAGAAAAATGTGCCTGTTGGTTTCAATGAACAGTGTTCGGGTGATAGGCACACCAAAAGCCCTGCCTTGAGCATTATACAAGGTATCTTTGTAACAAAAACACTTATACCCCTTTAATTAATATTTTGAAATTTAAAAAAATTACAAAAGAATTCTATCAGATACTTCTAGCCTTTCAACAAAGAGTATTTTTTAATCAAGTTCAGTTCACCATTTCCAAATAATTCCCTTTATAAAATTTTTCTCTACAAATTTGGTACTGCCCATCTTACATGATGTTGAATGGGCATCCATCAAATTGGTATTTGATTCAATACCAACACTTTCATCACATCTCAGTATGAATTTTAAAGGCAGTGTGAATACCTCTGATGGAGTCTAGTCTTCTCTCAGACCGTGATTTTACCAGCCTGTCAAATCACACTCAAGGCCGGCATGATGACATTTTGGTGAAAGATCCCATAAATGACAGTGCTGCTAGAAGACTACCAGGGAGCTGAAAATTTCCTATTGCCCAATGATGTCATAGCCATTGTAAAGTTGTAGGGCAAACCATTACTCACATGTGTGATGCTGGGGCAAACAAACTTCCTACACTGCCAGTCGCATAAAAGTCCAACACATGCAATTATGCATAGTAATTATGCATAGTATATACATGGATGCAAATAAATGACTCTGTCACTCTCTCATGTATTTATCACCCATAAATAGTATATAGTATACTTTTTATTGTTATTTTAGAGTGTATTTCCTCTAAAAGTTAACAGATCCTTCAGAAAGTATTCTAGAAGAAGGAACTGCTATCACAGGAGATGACAGCTTTGTGTACATAATTGCTTCAAAGACCTACTGAGATGAGATACGCAGGTGGAAGACAGTGACACTGATGACCTTGACCCTACGTAGGCCTAGGCAAACATGTATGTGTCTTTCTTTTCCAAACCAAACTCCATTTGTGACAGCGTCATTTTTTGCATCCTCATAAAGCCCCAAATAAACCTTTACCTTTCGAACGTTGGCCAACCGATTCATCATCAAGGACTCCTCGCGGTCGTCGTCATCGTCCAAGTCCAGCATGGGCATGCCGAAGGGGTCGATGATGCTGCAGCATCGGGGGCCTTCATCTCTCGGGTCGAAGGGGTCCACGATTATGGGCTCCGTTCCTTTTATTTCACAACGACAGAAGGGGCAGCCCTGGCCGTCAGACTCCTAAGGAAACACAGAAAATGCACCAGTTGGTTTTTATTCTAAACAAACAGTACTGAGAGGTGCCAATGTTCTACAACTATAAAAACAGATGCAAAAAAAGAGGTTCTGTGGTAGGAGGGGGGTGAAGATTTGTCTTGAAGAGGAATTGAGAGTTGAACAGAAAGCCAAGGAAATATATAAATGTGCAGTACTTCAAATTTGCCAAGAAGAAAAATTTCTTTCAAAAAGTTACTTTTTCTCTTGCTAAGGAAAAGGAATCTCTTTATTTTCCTGAATGTTCACTTGTACTTCTAATTTATCAAGGCTTTAGAGTAATGCAGAAAGCTGGAAACTGAATCACATTTTTCTTTACAAAAAGACAGCAGTGCTAATTAAACATTTTATAAAAAGCATGTTTTCGTAAAAATTCATAATAAATAAAGCAGTAGTATCAATGAGAACAACCCATCTCAAAATCCATTTTGGAAAAGTTCCTGTGCATTTAACTATGGCTAATTATTCTCATTTTAATTGCCTCCGAATTTAAAAATCCCAATTCATAAGCAATTAGTAAGAAAAAATAAAATATGTACATTTATATTCAGAAACCATCGTCTGTCCTGAAAGCTTATCATCCTGACATAACTCATCTGGACTATAGTGCTCTCTGAGATACTAAGTTTTTGCCCCTATCTTTCTTTAAACCAGATACTGCAAAAAGATTTGTGCAAACACTTTTGGGATGGAAATGCATTTACTGGTACCTGCTGGAGGTTTTTAATCTAACTCTCTCCATTTCATTTCTCAAAACTAATTACACTAAAAATTCACCATTGGTAGGGAAAGAGCACAAGACTGTTTTCTCACCCTGCAGATAACATTAACTTCTAGAGATAGACAGTATATAATAGCCGTTACCCTATTTTTATTTTTGTACAATCTCTGCCTTCAGTAGCAAATCATTTTAAAATTACTCAAAACTGTAACACCATTTTAAGGAAGAAATGGGATGATATGGTACCATCAAAGAAATTGAGACAAAGGATGCAGAAAATTTAAAAAAAAATTGTTCGGTACTTAACTCAGGACTGTACTATCCTCTTGGTATAATGGGAAGTCAGTGATCTACATGCCCTAGAGTGGTCTTAGGATCAGTGGAGGAGTAATTCACTCTCTCACTGGACAACCATGGAGCAACCACTCTGTGGCAGACTCTGTGACACTCTCTGTAAGCTTCACTCAGATGAACAAATTGAGTATCTCCTTTGCCAAACAAATTGTCAAAGAAAGGAAGACATTCTTTTGGCCTGCTTAAGAAAAAGAAATAGCAACATTCCTTTATTCATCTCCTTTTATGTAATTTGGAAAAGAACCTTGGAATGGTAAAACAGTTGAAGTAAGACAGCGTAAAGAAATGTGGACATGTTAATACAGAATTCTCTGATGTTGACATTTGGGTGTCATTTGTCCCAGTGTTTCACAGATGATATAGCTACGATTCAACTGTTTCTATTTTCAGTAACATATTGGTCTTTTATAACACATGAGTAAGTATTTTTTAAAAAGGTAAATCTTCCAATCTTTTTATAACAAGAACATTAAATTTAAAAGCATATTCAGTATATGTTATCATTCAGGAAAAATCCACTTATTATAGAAGTCAAAAGGGATCCATTTTGTGTGTCTGAAGTAGAATTTTCTTACAGATCTACATAATACAACTTACAAAAGGTACTTCTTTATATAAGAGCAAGCTGTGAAAGAGATGATGTTCTCTGTCTTTCATCGTAAGAATGAGGCTGTACTCTCAGCTCTAAGTGGACACTTTGTTCACTCATGCACTTAAAAAATTACCATAGAAAATTTCAAATATATATAAAATTAGAGGAAAAGGCATAATGAATTTCCATGGATCTACTATCAAGCTCCAACAATTATCAACTGACACACAATCCAGTTCCATCTATACCTTCATTGACTCTCTCTACCCTTGGAATATAATGAAGCACACCTCCTACCCATTCCATAAATCCATCTGTAAGTATTTTAGTATGTACAAATGAAAATAGAAAAGCTGTTCAAGATGTAACTACAATATAATTAAGAAAGTTGCATTATTTTTGAGTGTAGCGGCTAAAATGTGGAATAAGCTAGTCACTGAGCAACAGAGGTTTCTCTCAGAAACTTCATAGTCAATTTACGTGTAGCTTTGGATAAGAATGACTTCCAGTTCATCCATTTCCTCATATAGGGTGCCTAAAAAGACTGACATCAGAAAGGAGGAGGTGAAAATCATCAATAACGTCTGGACAGTACAAGAAAAAGACTTGGAACATCAAAACTCCATTTAGATTTTTCTCTCTCCATCCCACCTGAAAACTTCATGTTATACAAATTACTGGTATATGTTAGAGTAGCTATTGTAAGAGAAGATTTCATTAGAAGATATTTTCTGTTCAGCTTTATCTGTTGTTGAGTGTTTATATTACTTGCCAGATCAACAGAACAGCTGCAATAAGCATTCATTTTGATTTGCAAACAGATCACACTGAATATGCCTCTTTAAAGATACTTACTCTAATATGACTTCATCTATCACTCCTCATTTATAAAAGGACTGCTGCCATATGCAAATTCAGTTTAACCATAAAGTCTCAAATGAAACTTCAGTTACTCTGCCCTAGTTTATGTCAGACAGTTGATTGAATAAACATGAGGAATGACTTCAACAGACATAAATCTCATTAGGATTGTGCCTCAGTAATTATAGTAACGTTTCTCAATGTGACTTAGTGCAAGATCAAAGAATACGTGTATGCATTAATGAAGAACAAAGACCAATAAATAACATTGGCCCAACATTTTTTACTTTCTGTGAATGTAAAGAGGAAGTACTCAGGACCCCAGCTCTTCTAATTGACTCAGTAGGTTTCACTTCCTCTAGTAAGAAATATTTTCAAACCAAAAGATACAGAAGTTATCAGTGAATACTACACAGCTGAAACTCAAATACATAAAAGATTCATGATGCAGTAAAATAATTCAGACTCATATGTCAACCATAATACAAATTATATGATATTACATATAAATATAATATAGGTAAACTGGGAATAAATTAATATTCACAAATTCTTAGCCTTCATAAATCATGTACCCCATTCTCCACAAAATTCCAATGCAAATATAAATAAATATAGAACCATCTCATCATCATCAACACCACCATGATTTATCACCTTCTATATGCTGTTTAAATATTGGTAAGATGAACATACTTTATCTTAAATACCTTCTTTTCAATATTTTTAAGATAAGCATGACACAGATAAATAAATGACTATTTTCATGAAGATTACTTATTAGACACATGGTGTCTTAAGGTCAATCATTTTCTTCCCACATATATAATGTACATTGAGAGTCCTAGGGAATACGATAGGACCTCGTAAGTCTTACCTGGAATGCATTTTATATTTTTACTGTATGTATATGTGTGTATATATCTTTGTTAGTAACTATCAATTTACATTGCTTTGCTGCATTTCATGCATCTTTGAGGTTATCATGTACCTTTTTTAACATGGCTACTATACTTGGAACAATTATACATAAACATATACTCAGAGTAGGTTGAGTCCATACTCAGTACGTGCACAGCACAGCGTCCCCCACAGAATCTCAGTACGTTTTGGTTGAAGGAGGATCGTTAACAGTGATTTTTGATGAAATGCTCCAGAGTGGGAAATACCTTTAATTCTGGTGTTCTTTTATGATGGACAAGGGAGGAAGCCACTGGTTGCATCAGGACCTTCTAGTTTTGATGTGGGAGGCCCACAAAAACATGTTCAGTGAATCAGAAAAGGAGCACTGACATTCTAAATTAGAATGCCTGGATTGGACATCCACGTCCACCTATTACAGCTGTGTAACCCAGGGAATAAAAAAATAAGGCACATTTAAGGGGACAAAGCTGTCTCTCAGACTGGGTGAAATAAATTAATACAAAGCTGTGGTTTCCTATATTATTAACAACAATATTAAGTAAAATCCTAGGTGCTATTGTAAACACTAATATGAACTCATTAAATCCTAGGAGGTTCCCATTTTACTAATAAGAAAACTACATGTGCATGTTGATGAGAGTCACACAGCTTCAGAGCACTGAACAGCAAACCACAACAAGCTGGTCTATTTCAACACTGTAATCATTTCAAACTACACTACAGTAGAAGGATTCAGCGGTCCTTCAATCTTCCGATTCACAGCGTAGGACCAAATAAAGTTTACCATTATTTTCTGCTGGTTATTCAAAAATGAAAAGAAACTTAAAACTATGTCATTCTAATTGCAAGTTTCAAAATTATAGAACTATTATAATCAGGGACTCTTCTGCTTCCTCTAATCGAAAAGTGTCAGCTCTTTAATAAGATACAAACCTGTCTAAATAATTACAGTATTCCTAGGCATATAGTTTTACATAGTAAGAGCTTTTATCTTTTAACTATTTGTTCCTAAATCCAATTTAAAATTTTAACACATAAACGTTGAGTTTACTTATTTAATGGGGTCAACTTTAAAGTACCTACAAAAAGGTTCACATCAGTGTCGACTTAAGATTGTTCTAAGGCGTTAGCATCTGTTATTGTCCAGGCACATCACACTACAATGAGCATCTTTCCAATTTAGTCACTGAACTCAGAGTCCTGCACTTGCCCTACAAGACTTTACTTTCTCCCATCTGTCACCTTCTTTTCACAGCTAGTGCATCACTCTAATTTATGACATCATCTCAACATTTATGAACAATTCTAGCAACTTCTGCATGACTTTCAACATGAAAGATAAGTCCCAACATTTTATCATGTTTATATAAAAAGAAATGTTTACATGTTTTCATATATAATGAAAGGCAGAAGTGCCAATTTAAATCATTTTTAAAAGCAAAAATATTATTTTTTTATTGGTCGTATTAACGTTATTATACCTCACTGAAGCTAGAAATCTGAATGCTGGTCACCTTTGAAGGAAGATACGATAAAGGTCAACAGAGGACTGTTTCTCAGTGCCTTCCATGAGGTCAGCTGAGCCTGCTCTTAGACAACTTCACAGTTTCTCCCAACAAAGCTCTCTCTCTAAGGGGCATCTATAAATCTGCCTGTCCAGTTGATGAAGATATCCATTTTTATTTTGGAAGGAAGATTTCAAAAATATAGTTTACAGTTTGTGCCATTCAAGCCCAAGAAGCCATTTTCTAGCCAGTTAGAAAGACACCAAATGAAAACAATTCCTTTACACCTCATTAGGTAACAGCAGCATCACTGCTGCATAATAACGCTACTGCAAAAAAGGAAGATGTGGAGACACTCAGGGTTGAGAGAAGACGTATTTTGTTACTTTCCCATGAACGTGTGGAAGCAAAAGACAATTCTCCAAGTTTTATTGCTAAGGGTAGAAATGAAATGCTACACTCAGAGTAATGTTGCTTCAAATAATGCTTCTAGAAAGGTGCTTTTCCAACTTCTTTAGCATTCAGTGCAAACTTTGCTCGCTTATTTAATTTATTAAATAACACAGATGTTTCAGAAGGAGAAAAAAGCATTTGACACCTCTTTGGAGGCATGACTAATGGGCCATTATGACAGCAATTAAAGAGTAACCACTTGCAATCTTTAACAACTAACTGACACTGCTACTCTGCATTTAAGTTTTCTGTTAATTACATAAAATTTAAGTCTCTAATGAATTTCAATTAAACCAAAGGAGGTCATCAGGAAGGAAAAGTTGGTGAAGAATGACTTGCTAAAAATGCTGAACACATTATGATTTATGGCCAGGGTTTCATACTTCCTACTGGATTCTGACTGATTTATCATTGCTTCCTGGCAGACATGCAGCTTTCAAAATCACTTTCCTATCAGCATATCCAACCAAAGAAGTAGGAAGTAACAAAAAATGTCTAGCATACGTAATTAAATCTGAAGGATAGCAGGATAGTCATTTCAAGTAACTATAATATCATGTGCCTCAATAAAACTTTCAGATTTAATTTTAACTTCTTTAGATTAGAAACTGTGTCTTAGTATTCATCTCAGCTCAGGGATTAGTATAGAATCTGGGACACAGTAGCTGCCCAAGCTACATTTTCTAAATAAATGAATATATGAATGGATTTAAGATTCTGGAGAATGATAGTTGAAATAATGTAGGTTTTCTTCTGCACAGAACCAGTAAGGGGAAGCAAAATAATAAATTATCTTTGTGACAATTAAACTTGAAAACTTCATTATACAAAACAAAAAGAATTCTGTAAGTCAGAAAATACGGACAATAGTTCTGTATCATTTTTGAATTAGGAAAAAGTTAACAAAGAGATACTCTCAGAATTTACCCTCTCACATCTATAAGCTGAGATACAGATATTTGACAATATATTATAGAACTATGAAAAGTTTCCAATTCTGGTCTTTTCATTCACATATTCACCATCAATTAAGCTAAGTCCAATGAGAACCTAAGTGAGGTTATAGATATGAGGCTGTTATTAATGAAATATCTAATGTTTTCTAAGTGAGTTTTAATTGGATGAATTCTGTAAGACATTTATTTTTGTGACATTTATTTTTGTTAAATACCAGGGGCATTTTGCAATAATATGTTTAAAATAATAACCCAACACTGTTGCTTATATTATAATATAAAAGCTACAAAACACATCTGCTGGAGGGCAGGAAGAGTCGCCATGTACAACCTATAGGAAAATGTAGAAATAAGTTTAAATTGTTTCCTTCAAATTCTAAATTAAGTCTCTGACTCAAAAGTACATATTCTTTTCCTATCTAACACTGTTAAGAAAAGCAATTCTTTTAGTAACCAAAAATTGTTTTATTAAACTTCAGTTCCCTTGATTTACTATAGTTTTTAGCTTACATTACTTTATATAGCAAAATTCTGAAAGTTTTCAGAACTATTATTGTTAACTTCAATAGCAATGGAGTGCCTATACACTGAGAATGATTTCTTGTAACTCCTTATACTATGCAAATCAGGAAGGGATGAAAAGAAATAAGACCAACAATATCAAGAAAAGCCTACAGTAATATACATAAGCCAAGTATGTGCTGAAGGAGAGAAGGGTAAGTCTTGTGAACCCTTTTTCTGAGGTAGCAAAGATGTCAGGGTATTTCGAAAGGACTTTGAAAATATAAGGCAACTATAACTCATGTCCTAGTTCTTTCTCTTTGATTCATTTAGTTTTTCTAAATCTAAACAAAGGAAAAAGCAGGCCCTTTTGATAAGACTACAGAATGTAACAATTTCCCATTGTATTAAGTAATGAGCTCGACAGGTGTCCACCTCCCTCCTTTCCCTCAGCCTCTAGGCCCATCCTTCCTCAGGTCCAGAGTGGCGCGGGGCTGGACAGAGAAGTCCAAAGACTGAGAGGGCTCAGGATACGGCAGTGGTGTCAACTGTGTTCTCAACCAACAGATTTCTATTTCTAGTTTCAAAAGGACTACCTTGAACAGCAGTTGCAAAATGGCTAGATCCAAACATTCCATGAATGTTCCAAATATTCCAAACTGGAACTCTGTCCAAAGAACCAGTTTAAAATCCCTAATCTTTATTACAGATAAAGAAATATAAGAAGGGGCCGCGCCTGTGGCTCAAAGGAGTAGGGCGCCGGCCCCATGTGCCGAGGTGGTAGGTTCAAAACCAGCCCCGGCCAAAAAAGAAAAAGAAAACGAAATATAAGAAAGTCCTTGTGGAGACCAGTTATTCTATAAACCTTATTATAAAACATCAAATCAATTTATATTTATTGAATGCCTACCTACATATGGGAAGGCAGTTGGCCTGAGATTCTGCTTCTAGTATAAAGTGGAAATTTTAATGCCTGTTTCTGTGGGAACTGTAAGTATTTGAGAGACATTTCCTGTCTGACTCTCCAATTTTAGCCCTACAGCGCAACCATGGACATGTGTGAGACAAAAAGAGGTGGGGTTGAAATCATCAGCTTCAGATCTAGTTAAATGTACTCGGCTTCAGAATCTGGCTTTGTATTATAAACAGAATGTGACGGGTACAAATGTGTTTAGTTGGTAATATCTATAAATGAGCATCCTGAAATTCACAATATTGTAGTAGAACTACTTATAACCTATAAGAAAAAATTAAGTTATACATGCCAAAGATACAAAACGTAAAATGTAATAAAAAATCAAATCATATAAAGAAACTTAAAGTGGAAGAAGATTTTTGAAACCATTTTGAATGTAGCATTTTATCAATATTACTTCTGAATAACTAAGACAAAAAAAACTAAAAAGAGATATTTAATAGGGTACAAAGGGAGACAACCATGTTGCCAAGGAAACCATGCTTATACCTGCCATGCCGTAAGGCAAGATGTGCACATCAAATGCCCACAAGGCTCAATCTTGACATCTTTGTCATTCTCTGCGCAAATTTTACAAAGTTGGAAAGTGGAGCCCATTTCACAATATAATTCATATTGTTCCTGGAATTTGGAGGGAAAAGACGTAATGTTAATGTATTTCTAGCATAAGTTGTTAACACTGACTTTTCTCAAAAACAGTGACTTACCGTAAATATTTCACACTTGATCCTATCAGAATTATGTGAGCATTTAAGATATGCTTTAAATTGATAATCACAATTTGTTCTACAAAATCCATTTTATAAAGGTTTGATCTTTCATCAGGTATTTTATAAGCTTTTGAATAATTCAGAGTAAGGTTCCTTTACTGATCATTTAGGAAGGGCGTTGCTTCAATATTCCGTGATTCAAAAAATAAAATCTATCGTTTTAAGATGGCAATGTAAATGACTTGATAAATGTTACTGGCTCATCTAATTTCACCGTCAAATTGAAAAAATATACATATATTCTGGCTGAACACAGAATTTGATTATCTTCAGAAATTCTGGAAAATAGGGCGGCGCCTATGGCTCAATGAGTAGGGCACTAGCCCTATTTACCCAGGGTGGCAGGTTTGAACCTGGCCCTTGCCAAACTGCAATAAAAAAAACAGTGACACATCGTGGCAGGTGCCTGTAGTCCCAGCTACTCAGGAGGTTGAGGCAAGATAATCACCTAAGCCCAAGAGCTGGAGATTGCTGTGAGCTGTGACACCAAGCACTCTACTGAGGGCAACACAGTGAGACTCTGTCTCTTAAAAAAAAAAAAAAAAAGAAGGAAAAAAGAAATTCTGGAAGATATATATATTCTGGCTGAACATAGAATTTTATTTGATTATCTTTAGAAAATCTGGATGGGAGAAAAGCAACAGACAATTGTCAAGTCTTTCCTGCATGCCACGCCCTGTGGTCTATGCTGTTTCCTGTGCTCTTCAAAGTCTGACAAGATACATACTGAATTCAAGTAAAAATACCTGAGGTTCAGTAAGTTTAAACTATCTTCTTCAAATTCTGAATTAAGAATCTGACAAAAAGTATATATTCTTTTTCTACCTAAAACTGTCAAGAAAATTAAATCCTTCAGTAACCAAAAACTGTTTTATTAAACTTCCGTTCTCTTGATTTACCATGGTTTTCAGCTTAAAACATTTAACATAGGACAATTCTTAGTTAAAATATTGAAAAGATTTATGTGACAAGGAAGATGAACCTAGATTGGTTTATCTTAAAAGTAAAGAAAATATGAAAAAACTATTAAAAGAGATACAAAGAAAAGAAATTTAGCAATCAAAATTAGTGCTTAAACAATATTGTAGGCAGTAAGTGCCTACATTGTGTATGCCCTCCAATAGGATAGATAAATGGCAATATCAGTCCATAATCTACTACAGATACTACGATCTTGGTGTGAAAGTAGATATGTACCTATACATATATAGGCACACCTATATGCACATGCGTATACACACATACATGCATAAATTGGGTTTGCCATGCTGTATGTCAGTATATAAATAATTTTTAGGAAGGAGAAGACAAGCTAGAAGGATCAAGATGGAAAATAAATAATTCTAATGTATTTCAAAATGAATTATAAATTGCTGATGTCCTGAAATAATAGATTAGTTGGTTATGACTATTTAAGGAACAAATTTGTAATGATAAAAAAAAAATTATGATAGACCAAAACCACAGATGCAGAACTCAATGTAACCTAACAGATAGGAAAATTTATGACTAACATAAGGAAATGATATTAACTTCTGAAGATACATTTTTAAAAAATAGTTTTATAAAGAGGAAATTTTTCACCCATGAGTGTCCTTTACACATTAGAAAATACAGAATCAATGTGCAATTTTTTTAAAATGGCAATCATATATCAGCTTTATTTATTATTTTTAAAGACAAGGCCTTGCTCTGTCTCCCAGGCTGGAGCTCAACTAACTACGACCTTGAACTCCTGGGCTCAAGCAATCTTTTCACTTCAGCTTCCCAAAGTGCAAGGACTATAGGAAGGAGTGAGCCATCATGCCTGGCCATAACTTAAAAAGCTATTCACAAGATGTATATAAATGTCAACAGGTATGTTTCACATAATAATATAAAGACCACAGGGCCCAAAACCTGGAGAATTACAAATAAAGTAAATTAGTATCTGCTGTCTTTCTAAAAACCCTATAACCTCTCTGGTTTGGCATTTTCCCTTAGATTTTTACTACTCAACACAGAAAGCGTGAATATATCTCAAATATAAAATATACTTAAGCTATACTTTATATAAAATAAAATATTCCATATAAATTCTCACTCATAATCTATGAGGCTGACAACAATGGATTTAGAAAAATATAATTATTATCTTTAATAGGCTTCAATTACCCATTTGACACTAAAAGTTATGCTATATAATTATTCTCATCTTTTTTATTGTTCTCTAAATTATGGTTCTTGCCTCACATTTACCTACCAATAGATTTTTCTATTTATCTCCCTCATATAAATGCCATTATAAACAAAAATACCAAAAGCAGAAATTTTTATACAAAATTTTTAAAAATGTATTTTCAAACCCTCTAAGAACTCCTGAAGTAACTTCTATATTAAATACCTACCCATGGTTTTAGCTACAATGTAAGTAGTGAACCCTATTTTAAAGGTAATATAGATACTTATTCATTATACTTTTCCAGAAATTGTCCTTACCTGTGTAACTTTTATATGATCATGGGGTGTAGGTTCACATAATCCAGTTAAATCAGGATTGTAACTCCTCCCATCAGGATAAAGATAACTGGATTTAAACAGAAACTTTATTACTTTAAATATACAAGTTTCAATTGCATTTATGGCTATTTTACTGAATTCTTCTATATCTAAACATATTTGATGTTTTTATGTAACATATCAATAATATATTCTATCACTGTTTCCATGATATGATGTTATTTTAAGACATTTAAAAATGCAGAAATCATTGTCATGTAAGAAATACATGATGAATATGGACTCAGCTGCTACGCATCATTTTTGATTAAATACCTTTAATATATGTCCCTTATGTAAGTTAAAATTTTATTTTACTGGTCAATTATGTTCTATTTCAAAACACTTCAATAATACACCTGTTTGCGATTATTATGTGTCTCAACAGAATTACAGTAATGTTAACTGTATCATTTCATACCACACTTACTACCACATAGAGAGAAAAATAGAATTAAAGGCCACAGTTTTCCCACAAATCACACAAATACATCTGGGGTTTTCTTATTCTTACAGTTTCCCCATCTTTCTTCTGACTTAGTTTCCACTCCCCTAACACGTACACATGTGCACATACAGACGCAGAAATAGCCAAGTTCAAAAAACTAGAAAACATTACAGTTTTATGTTTCATTGAGTTCAGTAAAGTTACAAACATAGAATGCTCTATAGGCATAAGTTTCTATTATCAGAAAAACTGAAATCTAAAGTAAAAGAATGATCGTGCCATCTTGCTGTGTTAAATTGGAGAGTTTACTTGTGGGAGTTAATGTTTGCAGTGAAGGTTAGGCCAGGCATCTCTGAAGGGCCTGATGACCACAGTCAAAACTCGTCTGGCACTGCCAGCTCAAGGCTAACATTTCAGAGTCCAGGACTCTGCCCCTCCAGGTGCCGCAGATGGTCAATGGATATCTTGAAGCTGAGAACAGAATTCATAGCAACTAAAGATTGCTATTGCTTGAGTCCTGCCCAAATATAGATGGGCATCACTGAAGCTAGTTAGGAAAGTTAAAATTTAGCCCCTAAATTGTAAAGTGTGTGTTGTAATCACATGATGTGCTTGCATAATTTTCCCTCTTTTGTTTCCCCTTTTGACTGTTAATGATTGCTTAGGGAGCCCAGCCTTGAATTACTAAAATTAACTTTTATGTTTCATGTTGTCAACATGATCTACAATGTGTGAATGACTACAGAGACTTTTGGGGGAATGGAAGGGGGCTGCACTTGCTAGATGGTACCAGTGACAGCACACGCCTCTCTTGGGCTCCCATTGGTTATTTCACCTGAGATCACGGAGTCCACGTGTTCTCTAGCATCAGCTGCTCTCAGTGCAGATCCCAGGCCGCCACGTTTACTTGTTACTCAGAAATGCGTTTTTAAAAGTTTGTGCAGGTAAATATTTTTGATTAAAAAACAAGTGGATTTCATCAAGCTTATTAAATTATGGTTAATTCTGTTTACTATCTTTATAAACTCATTCAAATGAAAAATTAAGAATACAATAGTAGTGAATATTGAAAAGGGGAAAAACTATTATGTGAAGTAACTACAAAAACGTATCCTGAAATGAAGAGTCTGCAAACATGTTAATAAGTGTTAGGATTTCCTAGGAAAATCTGAAAAATGAACTTAAAGGACAGATAACTCTCATTCAGTGAGAAATAGATGAGTGAAATGGATTTCTGTTTTTTAAGATTTGGAGATGGAGGCTCAGCGCCTGTGGCTCAAACGGCCAAGGCACCAGCCACATACACCTAAGGTGGCGGGTTTGAATCCAGCCCGGACCCGCCAAACAACAATAATGGCTGCAACCAAAAAATAGCCGGGCGTTGTGGCGGGCGCCTGTGGTCCCAGCTACTTAGGAGGCTGAGGCAGGAGACTCGCTTGAGCCCAGGAGTTGGAGGTTGCTGTGAGCAGTGAAGCCGTGGCACTCTACCCAGGGGCTCAGCTTGAGGCTCTGTCTCAAAAAAAAAAAAAAAAAGATTTGGCGACGGAGTTGACTCCATCTGAATATGACACAAACTGAGAGGGCCATTAGGGAGGCGCTGTTTGATTTTCTTTTGGAAAATTAATGGAAGGAATGATACTAATACAAATAAGATGTATCAAAATTACTCCATCTACACATTTGCCCATTCATGCCCTGAACTTGTAAGATTAAAACTTCAAAGTATGTTTTATTTCAAAATAAAAAAGCCTGTAATCAAGGAGAAGCAAAAGCTCTACACATGAATCTTTGACGCACTAGAGCTAAAGTGCACATTACTGAGAATAGCAGATTTATGAAAAATGGAAGAAAAAAGGAGAACTATACAGATGATACTGTATTTTACCATACTTTTCATATGTAACTAATTTCTTAAAAGTACATAGCTTTAAAAAATGTACTCTTTTTTTTTGCACAGAGATCTCAAGTTTTTTTTTTCTTTCTTTTCTTTTTGTAATATCTTTGGAAAAGGTAAAATTTAAATCATTTGTTCCTTGCTAATTCTGGTGGACGTTCTCCTGCCAGGTTTCTATCACAAACAGTGCTGCAGCCAGCTGCAGCAGACAGATCTCTAAGGTGCTCAGCAAGGCCAAGGGCAAGAGAAGGCAGAGTGATAAAGGAACACTGAGAATGCAAGGAGGGGCTGAAGGGAGAGGCATGTGACTGAAATGAACAAGAAGAACCTGGTATTTTTCTTATGAAGTGGCCTAACAGATGGTCCAAACTTTGTGTACAGAGAGGAAAGTATGTTAATAGTTGAAAACACAAAAAAGGAGAACTTAGTTTTAAATTTTAAAAAGAATAGCTTGAGGTACACCACTGAACTTAGCTATTAACATATAATACTGGAATATGAAAGTCGTTGTAGGTGTAAATAAAAGGTCTGTGAAGATTCAGAAGGGGAGGGCTGGGGGAAGAAGGCAGAAAAGAAAATCTGGCGCCACCAGTCAAAATAAAATAGGTAAAATTAGCAATCTGACAGTTACATGAGGTAACAGAATTCAATTATTTAGAGAATTTTCTCTTAATACATACATAATTTTACAACTATTGTAAAACTAAGTTTAAGTCCCAACCTCTCTTCCATGAAAGATATAAACTAACAATGAAATTTAAAGGGCAAATGTATTTTCTATACATATGATTAGATTCTAATAATTAAGTCTCTAATAATTAAACTAAAGAGCATCCATTATTTCTCAGTCTTGAGATAAAAAGCAAACAACCAGATTAGCAGCCTCACTATCCAGTCTCTCTATCACAAAGCAGTCTCTATTCTTCAGATTTGTGAATCATAACCATCCCATGATACTTACAACCCTTCCCTGCTGCCATCAATCAGGGCTTGGAATAAGGGCTTGTTATGAGGTATGGTCTGTAGGATATTGCCATCCCCGGTGACATAGCCAATGGCCCACTGTCCCAGTCGAGTGCAACTTAACCGAAAAATGTAGCTGCAAAACATAAGAAAATTATGTCTAATCACATTGAATATGTAAACCAACTAATATACTTTTAGATAAAAGTATAAACAGAATCATTTAGACTTCATGATAACTAGACATTCCTGATACTCTGTTAACTTATTGGTAATGCCACTGCATTTCTCTACATATTGATTTATTAAAGAAATTTGGTCATTCCTTCCAATGAAAGGAAACATTGAATTGCTTTTTTAAATTCATCACTGTCACGTTCAGTTAGTCATCTATCTTTTTACTTATTTCATTTTAGATCATTTCTTTCTATCTAAATCTACTACATTTACTCATGCCATAGTAACATCCATTTCTGGATACTGTAACCCATTAAGCAGATTAAAAGTCAACTTATATGTTGACTTAAATAATTGGCTATATTTTAGTAGTCTGGTTGCTGTATGTGGCAGAAATATGTATCCTTTAATATTCTTTACTCATTGATGAACCAAGAATTCTAAAATTAACTTTGTAAGATATAATTTAGCACATATAATGTACAGTCACTGGGTTCAATTACCATGTATGTTCCGTAGTGCAGTGTGATTTCATCTTTTAAGAAAATAAGGTCTTTAGAAAAAAAAAAGTTGAGATTTTGAAATATTATAAATTGTGTACTAGTGCTAAATGTTTTGGAAATGACTTTTCAAGGTCATCTAAAAACATTTCTCTAGAGAGCCTGAAAATAGGATATCATATTGCCAATTAATTGGCATCTTTAATAAGAACCAGATAATATAACAGACTTATGGCTCTGATATGAGAAGTACCAAAAATAATGGAAAGTTACTATGAATTATAATTCAGAAGTTCATTAAACCATTACATTTAAAAATAAATATGAAAAATTTCAAATAAGAATCAAACAGAAATCTTAAAGGTCACTGTGTAGTATGGATCTTATTGGAATTTAGAATATATTAAAATGAAGAGAATAATTACAAATCTACATTGTTAGTAATAAAGTAATTCCACATTTACACATATACCAGGACTCTAGTAAATTCTGAAATACATACTTGTGAAATTGCTCAGTTTTTAACTAACAACCTTTTCTGTGGCACTAAATACTGTTTGTAAGATGGTTCTTCTAAAATTGATTATTACAGAGAAGGTTCAAACAATTAACAGAGATAACAGAAAATAAGAATAACAATTTAGAAAGAGACACAATATGGCTTTTCAGAACAACTGCTCCCTCTCAGGCCTTATTATACCTATTTTTACATCATTTGCTGCTAATGCTTTTGCTAATAGCTACCCAACCTCATGAGATGAATTTTTGCTTTATTTTTAACTTCTTTCTCTTGTAATGGCGCAATTAACATAATCAGATAAATTTGTTTCATACTGAAGGTGATTTAGGGTTTAAAGTCACTTTTTTTTTTTTTTTTAATAAAGGCAGGATCTCACTCACTTGCCCAGGCCAGAGTACAGTAGAGTCATCATAGCTCAGTGCTACCTCAAACTCCTGGGCTCAACTCAAGCAATTCTCCTGCCTCAGCCTCCCAAGTAGCTGGAACTATAGGTGCTCAACCCCACACAAAGCTAATTTTTCTATTTTCTTATAGAGATGAGGAGATAGGGTGGGTCTCATTGTATTGGGCAGGGTGGTCTTAAACTCTTGGTTTCAAGCAGTCCTCCCATGTGGTACTCTCAAAGTATTAAGATTATAGTCATGAGCCACCATGCCCAACCTCTAAGGTCACTTTTTAACACTAAAGTCATCCATTGGATATTTCACCTGGATTCTCCAGCATAATTAAGGAATCCAAATGTCCTTGGAATGAATTCAACTATATTCCTCATTATGAAGCCAAAGCAAGGAAATAAACGTTCCAAGAGAAAAGACCAGTTAAACACAGGTATTCTATAAAACGATTAGTTATCAAACTTATTTGACTTATTCATTAAATGTTTTCCTAAACATACTACATATTTTAAATACCCACATCACACTTTACATATGACATTTTAGTATATATCGTTCAGTTCATCTTTATCTAAAATTTAATAGAGAAAAATTATTAGTAAGGAATAGAAGACATTCTTCTAGAGGGCAGTATCCTATTTTTCATAGATATGACTGACATATTAAAAAGCCATAATGTATACCTCTTGATGCATTTGGAGATAAGTGTACCAGTGGACATTTGTTGAATGCTTTTAAGACAGAGCAGTATTTTTTTTTTTTTATTAAGAGAACTATTAGTGCTGAGATCTAGATTAATCCCAATACTCTCATTCAGGGTCTTCATGATATTGAATAAGAAAATAGCAACAACAACAACAAAAAGCCTCAGTTTCCTTGTTCTTTTTATAGGATTATCCAAATAATTTATATGTTAAATCACTTGACTGCATGATTCCAACCACATAACATTTTTCGAACCCTAGCCCAGGAGCAAGAATGTTACTGTATATGTTACTAATCAAGAGAGTAAAATTATGGGAAAATCTAGTCATGAGATATTCTTGAATGAAACAAAATGATTTATCTAAACCTCTCCTCTACCTGTAAACTATCTGCACGGCTTCTATGGCCCCACTGAAAACTAACTCTCTTTCCCCTACGCAGAGGATTTCAGCAGGAGGATTTCCCACCTGTTTTCAATGCTCACTAACTCCTTTTTATGTACCATATAAATTCTTAAAGAGGAAAAAGGTGGGAATTTCCATAGAGCAGAGAATAAAATAAACTTTATTGGCTTGTACTTAAGAAAACATTGTTAAAGGAAAAACATCATATGCACTGTAAGTAAAATAAAAATGATACTAGAAGAAAAAGACAGAATTCGCAGAACAACCAAATTCATTCCTAAAATGAAATAATCTCTGCGTGAAAATCAGCAAACAATGAAATGGCATTTCCTACTCAAATGCAAGGACTCTGAAGACACTTTTCAAATGTCAGTCACTCCTGCTACACCCAGCACACTGCCTGCCACAGCACAAGGCCTACTGTGCACCTAGTGCATTTCTAGATGGGACACTGGGGAAAATACAATAAAACAGGGACGAGACGAGACATTTTCTGGTTGAAGATCTGCTGTTAAGAAGGTGTGATTTCAAAAAAAAAAAAAAGAAGGTGTGATTTCCTGGTCAAAACTATAGGGGCTGATCAAACAATCGATCTCTCTGAGTCTTGCTCAGTTTCATCATCTGGAAGGTAAAACATAAATAGTGAAACTGTGAAGAAGTAGGAGATTCATTGGCAGCGATTTTTGAGGATGTATATTTGGTTTGGAATCTAATAGTAGGCTGATCGAAGTTTGTGTCCTTATTTATATGTACACGTGTTTATATGTATTTTACATACACTTACATGTATTTATCAGAGAGCCTAGCTGAATGGCTTTAAAAATATCTTCAAATAATGAACATTAAACTGTTCTATTTATTTTGCCTTTAAGCACAACGCTGAAATAATCAAATAGATATATGTAATTATGCACACAAACACAGGTATCACGGAAACAGAGAATGGAGTACATCCCTTTCACTTTATGAATACTGACTTTCAGAGCAAGCACAATGGCATCCATTTAAAGCAGTGGTTCTCTATGGGTGGTGACCCACAGAAACTGTATTAAAGGCCCGTGGCATTGGGAAGGTTGAGAACCACCTATTTAAAGGATTCAATTAAGAAGCACCATTTCACTCCAGTTTTTCTACCACCCTCCACACACTCCTAGTGGGTCATGGGTTTACTCAGGAATAACCCATAGAAGATTTTCATCTTAAAATGTATCGCACAATATCACTACTGAAGTCTTACCTTCCAGGCTTGGTGCTGTATTTCTGCAGCCGCGCTTTAACTTCATCGTACGTCAGGAATGCCATGTAGCCTGGATGCGTCACAGCTAAGAAATTCCAATTCCGTAAAATAGAGCCCCAGGGCTAAAAATATAAATAAATTAGAAGAGATTATCTAGAGAATATGAACTGTTGATTACACACCAACTTATCATTTGATACATTTAACGAAATTCTCCCAGATATTTTTTAAGTTAATCTGGGCTTATATGGCTTAGGTCAACCTTTGTTACCTACCAGCAAACATGTACTAATTTAATCATGTAGGCAGAAAACGGCTTTTTAGGAACAGAACACAGACAGCAAAAAGGAACTCACATAACCTCTTCCCTACAGTCTTTTCTCACTATGGCACTTGTGATCACTTTGAAATCTAAGTTACATAATTCTTTTGTTCAAAACTATAAGTTTGAATAAAAGCCAAAGTCCTCATCAACGGCCAGAGGATTTCTAGGATGTGATCCTCAATTCCTTTTGTTCCATTTGCTATCACTCCCCCATTTTCGGCCTCTTCTCCAGTCACACTGGCCTCTCTGCTTCTGACTTGAAGACAAAGGCCCTCTCCCACCTCAGAGCCTTTGTATCTGCCGATTCCTTGACCTGAATTTTGTTCCTCAAATATTTACGCCATTCCTTTCTTCAAATGTCACTACTTCAATGAGGCCACCATGACCAGCCTATTTAAATTATCTCTTGTAACTTTCCTCATCTCTCTCTGTTTTGTTCACTGCTACTTCATTTTATAGAAGGAGAAGCCACACTATGGAACTTCAGTGATCTGCCCAAGGTTATAGATACGTTAGCCATGAGCTACCTAGGACAAGAAACACACCTGTCTTGCTCACACATGGGATACCAAGACCTGTACACACAGTGTCAGTCACATAGCAATCATGCAGAGCTACGATCATTGAACAGACCCTCTCCTGGAGTGTCCAAACTGCTTTTTTTCTGCTGCCTTACATTGGAAGAATAAGTTTGCATTAAATATGCAAACACTAATGAAAGTTGATTAATAAGAAAAAAGCTCCATGCATACTTTTCATGATGTCCAACACCACTGATAAGCAAAAAAAGTCCTTAAAAAATCAACGTGTAGGCCTGGCACCCGTGGCTTAAGCAGCTAAGGCGCCAGTCACATACACCTGAGCTGGTGGCTTTGAACCCAGTCCCGGCCCGCCAAACAACAATGACGGCTGCAACCAAAAAATAGCTGGGCATTGGGGCAGGTGCCTGTAGTCCCAGCTACTAGAAAGGAGGAGGCAGGAGAATGGTTTGTTTGAGCTCAGGAGTTGGAGGTTGCTGTAAGCTGTGATGTCACAGCGCTCTACCCAGGGTGACAGCTTGAGGCTCTGTCTCAAAAAAAAAAAAAAAAAAAGTCAAAATGTAACCTGTGGGCCACAGGTTGGACACCCCTGCAGAGTCACTTATCTGAAAGGCTAGAGTTCCTTCCATGGTAATGTACTATTATAATCACTTCTGGTTTATCCTTAATAATATAAAATTAGGAAAGGCTTATGATTTAAAAGTTATGTAAAAATCCTGGCAGAAAGATACTTCCTTTGTACCAATGTATCATTCTCTTTTCCATCTGATGCCACAGTAACCAGAGGAAAAACGCAGGACAAAAGTGACAGACAGTCAGTGATAGACACTTTATTGGATAGTGTGGATGAATCACCTCTGCAATATTTTTCAGGCTACAGCTACTTTTATTCCAAGGAATTGGCAGCATATCCTATCTGATGTGCCAGATTATTAACTCAAATCTTCTACAGAAAAGAAAAAAAAAGGTATCTTATGTTGCCAAGTTAAAGCTGTTGAAATAGCCATCCTGGATGTGATTACTTAAGACAGAGAGTTCCTGCTTTTGTTTATTTTGAGACTTGCTCCTCGTTATTGTTAAACAAGTTTCAAATGTATAAGGCGGAATTCTTCAAAGATTATAATCCTTGAGATGAGGATAACAAAGGAAGGGGTAATTTAGTAATAGCGTTTTGTAGCCTCTTTTGACATAACAAGAAAACTCTTCAGGGTATTTCCCCATCACATTAAAATACTTAATCGGGTTAAATAAAAATAGAAAAAAGAGCTGTGGATACCACTAGTATAACAGAAAAGTTCAGTCTATGGGACTTGGAAAAAGTAATGCATGTTTTTAATTTTCTTCTTAAGGGATGACTAAAAATTTCATAAAACAATACTTGGAAAACGATCAACATATGTAGAAAAACAACTGTGAAGTAATGCTCTTCTAGACCCTGGTTATTGTTTTATTTCTCCGTCTATAAAGGACAACGATGGAAGAAATATCAAACAAATATTTGGGTCACCGCCATTTACGCCCACACAAATTAATGGAAGAGTTATTCAAAAAACGGCAGAACTTTATAGAGAACCAATGCACAAATCAAAAAACAAATAAAAAAAGAAAAAAAAAACTGGTGTTTTGAGCCAACTGCTGTAGTATTTAGCAACTGTTTCTTAGTACATAATCCAGAGAGCCAGCTTCTCATTGCAAAAATATTTATGTAATAGAATGAGTCTGTGTACTGCTTTTTCTTGTGAATACAACCCACTCAAAACAGTCAGAAACATGCAGTACTTATGTGTTTTTATTCTTTTTAAAGTATTTAGCTAACTAATGGCTTAAATAAGGCAAAACAAAGTGCTCTGGAAAATAAGAATTATTTTTGAAATTGGTTTTTTAGATAAAAGGAACAGTTTTTCACATATAAGAACACTAAGTTACTTGGAGATATTTAATCACCACAGAAACTAATAATGGGAATAAAAGAGACAAGTCTCCCCATTTTCCCAAATGCTACCAGTTTTAAGAAAAGCTACTAAATGACTGACACCGTTAGCTGGAAGCGAGTCCTTGGCTGGTCTCTCTGTACGCTCCCTATAATTCGTTGCTATAACTGAAGACATTCCTCCTCTTTGATTTTCTTCCCTGTTCCATTGATGCTATATATTCCATAGTCACTAGGATAGTCTCCCCAAACACTCCTTCTTTATCTGGCCACCCCTCAAATTTAGCGTCCCAGTGTCCAACAACATCATCTTCTCTCATTGTGGGGAAACAGGAGAGCAGCGGACCAGCCAAAAGAAAGAGAAGAGCCAAGTCCCTACATTTCCAGGCCAAGACTTTAGTACCTATTGATCTCAGCACCTCCAAATGACTTTAAGGGATGAGAAGATGATAAAGCCAGAAGAAAAAAAAGGAAATGAGGAAGGTGACCCAAACGAGATCCCCTGAATGGCTCCCCAGCATCTGTTCAAGTTCTGCCTTGCTGTAAGGATGAAGCCGAGAGGAAACAAACTTACTTCTTTCATTCTTTTTGCAATTTTCAATTTCATCACCTGACTGCTGCTGATTCCTTCTTCAAACTCATATACTAGTTTTGTACTTAACACCACAAATCCTAAGAATGTACTTTACTCACTTCCAGACCATTCTGGAATACCCTACTCCCAATAATGTAGAGTTAGAAGTATTCATTGCCAACGAACCACCAATATCATGGCTACCACAGCATATAGCTGATGAACTGTGTCCCTCAGTCACAGTATTAATAAAACTTACATTTTCCATTATATATACATACAGAAATTTAATAAAGACAATACCTTTAATAAAACTAATTTTTAAAGCTAGGATCAGAAAAAGTTAAAACATCTACTTCCTTAAGCACAGAATCAAACTGATCATGTTTTAAGAAAGCATGTGTATGATTATATTCAAAGTGTTTATTTGTACGTATAGAAATCAAAGGACGTGAAAAATCTCAGAAATATTAGGGACTAATGAGAGTTCTTCAGCTAATTCTATAATCACATGTTTTGAAAGAGACTAGGCATTCTTTGGCATAGGTAAGATTTTGATTTTCTTAACTAAAACTTTTCACAAAAAGTCTATTTAAAAAAATCCCTTTCCTCTCCCATCCCTGTGAACATAAATGAAGTATACACATCTTAGAGTATTAATCTTACTTACACTGTTTTAAAGTAAAACAAGTGTACATTATTAAATAGCAGTTTAGATGAGCATTTAACCAACGTTAAATGCCTTTACACTGTTAACATATAACTCTAAGGCATTCTAGCTTTTAATACTCAGACTAGAAAGTGATCCAGGCTCACCACAAAAACATACTCGCTGCCCAAAATGAGCAGGTAGGTTTAATGTGTGAAAATTACTTTTACTCTCTTCTTTCACAAGGCGAAGAAGCAAAGCTTTTCTTATTTAGAATGTTTTTGAATCATGTTAAATAAATAAAGTGTTTATTCTGGAAAATTATCAGAAAAGTTTAAGGAAAGGAGAAGTTCTGCTATAAAATGACCACTATCAGGTAACAACTTTTTTCCTAAACTATATCCCAAAATCTTAGGAAAAACATGAATTGATAACCTGTATGTGCCACTGAAGATTCATAAAACTATGATAAATTTAAAATAAGCAGAAGCACATGTTCACTAGTAATAAATCTAATTTATTAGCCTATAGATAAGACAGAATTATGATTCTGAAATTGTAACAAAAATATAACCTATATGTATTGCTGACAGGAATTAATCTGTCTTATTAACAAGTCTTCTCCTAAAGTTAATCCCATGCAATGCTGTTTTCTTCTGTGAATAAGTCACCCAACCCTTTCCGGCTAGTGCCAATTGGAATCATAAAGCAAATTCACACAACATGGAAAACATGAAACCAACATTATGCTCGAACATTTCTTGAAAGCAGATTTCCATGACAATAAATTTTGCTTCAGATTAAGATAATAAAGAAGTGTATCAGAACATAAATAAGAGTAGTTCCCACCAATTGACCTCATTTATTATATAATTTATATTAATGAAATCCTAACAATTTTAAGTAGTTCTCTTTCATTTTGTGATGACTTGAGTCAAATCCTATAGATGACATATGTGGTAGTGGCAAGACCCCAACTGAAGATACAAATTCCAAGTCTTCATGTTCAGAGTAACTCCATTAAGACATGCAAAAAATAAAATGACAGCACCCATACATACCTTGTTGTGAATAGCTATGTGAAAATAATGGTGGAGGACTGATTAAAAAAAATAAACAAAACAAAAATATTCTCTTCAATATCGTTTACATTAGGGATAATGGTGAAAAACATGGAAATTTTCCAACAGAAACCTTTATTAAATTACAACTAACATACTGTTTTCATGTAACATAGGCACTAAAGATTCAAAATCATTGATGAGGAATATTTATTAACATGGAAAAAGTGTTCATTACATGTGGTTGAATGAGCAAAGCAATTTATAAAAGTACACACCACAGTATCCATCTATATAGAACAGTTTGCTTTCTATGTTTACTATTTGCTTAGGAGAAAATCCTAAGAAGCCAAAGAGAAATGTAGATACAACTCTGGCAAATGCCCGTTGTAAATGTTGCATTCTCATAGCCACTGGGCTAAAAGATCAACGGCATAAAGTCAGAACCTAAATAGAGAATTGAAAACAAAGCTCTTTTGCATGAATCCTTCTAAAGCTAGCAAGCAGCCAGCAGGCTGACAGCACCAAATGGCTCACTCTAAACTCACAGCAGTGACCAAACACAAATAAAATTATAGGCGACTGAGAATGAGACTGTTTTCCATATGTCTGTGTATTGTATGTGAGAAACAGAAGGAGGGAGAGAGAGAGACATGGGAGAGATGGACGGGAGGGAGAAGGTGATGTGAGAGGGAGGGAAGGAAGGGAAGAACAGACTGAGCAAGTAAAGCTTACCTGAAATAGTCTGGTAAAAATATCAAATTCAAAAACTGAAATGTAATCATTACAAGTTAAATCAATTGTCGATTTTAGAGCCATTGCTTCTAAGCCAGAGCTAATTTGATGGACCTCATGAAGGCACTGTCTGAATACTTTCCATGGTACGATAGTCCTGTGAAAGGGGAAGAAAAAAAATGAGTAATTAATTCAAGTGTCACCTAAGACATACCTTCCATGGAAAGAGCACAATTCAATCATTACATTAATATAATTGTATCTGTATTAAAGGGCAAAATAGTTGAGAATACTGTTTATAATTAAGAACGCGTGTATTTGGTTCTGCTAACTCAATTATTTTTCATTTGCTAAGAATATGACAAAAACCTCAGTCAATTTTTCTCTCAAACAGTCCTTGGCTATCAAGATATCTCTAGGAAAACATCTGAAAGGAGATACTTGGTTAAAATCCTATGTGTCATGACCTCTTCAATTGTGTATACAAGATTATTTAATCCTGAATCAGATTAAATTCTCCCTCTCTATTTTCTTAAGATAGTTACAAGAAGATGGGTCCACATACTAGTAGAAATCTTTTCCTCATTGCATAAAAGAGTAATGTGTATCAACCATTTCAAGATGGGTAAGGTGGAAAATCATCAAGACATTTCTGCCACTACCCTGATGTTTTCTGTAGAGATGAAAGTATGTGTTACCTAAACTTTAATATGAATGCAAAGGGAAATCTTAATTTTTTAATCAATCACAATAATCATCTCATGGAAATGTCTTATATAAAATTCAATACTTCTGTTAAATATCATACATCAAATATTTTAATAGATAATACATTTACATGATTCAAAAACTTATAAGAGCATAGAATGGTATCCAGGGAAAAGTCCTCTTTCAATACCTGCCCAGATTCCAACATTCACTCAGCCTCCTTTCCACTGTGAAAATAAGTAACATCTAGGATTCTTTTCCTAGTTAACTCTTCCTACTTTCAGAATGGTAAATGCCTATTCCTTATTAGAAAGAAGAAAGAAAACATTCATATTTCTGAAAATTTAAACTGCAATTTGACAACAAGACAGCTAGGGTAAGAGTTATATACACCATTCCATGTAAATACTACCTGACCCCATCTATGCCAATCCTCTGAATAAACATCACTGTAAAGGTACACTCTTGGTGTTCACGCCATAATTATCTATAGCTGTGGTTGTCAAACTTTAGCATGCATCTGGACCATCTGAAGGGCTTTGTTAGTACAAGAACTGCTGACCCCCAATGCAAGACTTCTGGCTCAGTAGCAATGGGGCCGGGTCTGAGAAGTTACAGTTGTCAAGTTCACAGATGATGGTGATGCTATCAAGGTGGGGAACACTTGGAGAGTCACTACTAATCTACCACATCTGTTCAATGCTAAAGCAAGGCACCACTGGTTTTAAATAAATAAAACCATAAAAGTTAAAGATCTCACCTCTGTCTCTGAACTACTCCAGGTTTAGGGTAAAAGTACGATCTGTAATGCTAAAGAATCTAAAGGGGATATATAAGGAACCGCTAATTAATAGAGACACAGTAAGAGCTGGAGGAATTTCAGAGAGTCTGTTGGAAGTGGCATAAATGAATGGTGAGATAGGCTTACAGTACTATGCTGTGTTTACAGCAGAGTTTAGTTTTGATGTACCATTAAAAGGAGAAAAATATGAGGCTTCATATTCAAAAGGCTTTTCTCAATGTATGAAAAAAACAGGAAACCACAGAGAACTGAGGAGAGATACCACATCAGATGCCCTTTCAAAGAAGCACACGTCAAGCTCTCATTAAAGTTTACAAAATACTGCTGTTTAACAAAATAAAAGGATAACTTTTAAGAATATTAGACATCTATTGATTTATAATGAAATATAAATATGTAATTATGTCCAGCTTCACTACACTTCCAAGAAAGAAGGGCCTAAACAAGCCCAATTTTTTTCCCCTAAATTAAAATTTTCAAATACTCAACATCCATAAAGGAGCTGAACCATGATACTCAGAGTGAAAAAAACTGTAATCAAAAACTACCACTTTAAGAACAGTATAGATTTTATTTTTTGTATGGAAAAGTTAAGCATTTTGTTTTTGTATATGAAGTATGGAATGTAAACAAAGTGGCCAAATAGAAACTTTCAATATTTATTTTGTACATAAAGCAGAAAAAGTAAAAATACATACTGTCCAGATAGACATCTTTGATATGTTACCACAAAATGTTGTCCTAATCCTATATTTACAGTGAATTCAACTCAGAACACTTTTGAGTACCCAGCGATTTACAAAACGCATCAACTTCTACAAATTCTCACCTTCACACACTACTACCTCAGAACAATTTACAAAGCGACATGCTATATTCAAACAGTCCTTGTGTAAATGGCATTTTTCAGTTTTTTCGTGTTAAACCTAAAGTCCAAACAGGCATTCTCTGGAACTTTAATTAAAGATAGCAGGAATTAAGAAGCCGAGGCAACTTCTACAGGTGGTTGTACCATAGATACCCTTCCTTTGACTACCTGGGTGAAATACCCACCATATGTAAAAGGTGGAGGAGGAGTGGCCCTGAGGAGGGGGTTTCATGAATGTAGACTACAATAAAGTACAAAGACTTTTACAAACAAACAAATTTAGATTGTTCTAAACCCTTTGGACTAAGGAATTAAGCTTTCTAAATAGGATTTTAAGTGGCTACCGCATTCTTTCCTGAAGCATAGGGGACAAAGTGGAGTGGGACAGAACAAATTTTCACACCTTTAATTAAACTTCAGCAGCAACCAGAAGTGGTGGCTTCTACTACCTCTTCCTTTAGAGATGAAGCCAGTGAGAGAAAATATTAATGGCGAATTGTTTTACAAACAGGTAGAAACTTGAGGGCACTGCCAGAGGCCTAGAACAAAGAAGGGGGAAGAGAAAGAAAAGGAACAGAGCCTAAAAGGGCTGATAAACTCTAAGCTCTAAAGAAAAGGAACAGAGCCTAAAAGGGCTGATAAACTCTAAGCTCTAAAGAAAAGGAACAGAACCTAAAAGGGCTGATAAACTCTAAGCTGTCACCAGTCCTATAATCTAATTTTAATCTGTTCTAATTCATCTTTGCAATTATAAACTGCTTTAAAATGCAAGTTGAATTAATTTTAAAATACACTGAAAAACACAACTGCCAATCTATAAAGAGTAGAACACCAGACCAATGGATAGCTATGCCCCATCATGATAACACAGCAATAATTTCAGGATCTTTATACCTCCAAGAAGAGCTGCCATTTATTGATGACTTCCTATCACTCTCCTACATAGAAATATATTGATGACTTTTTTTAAAGTATAATTTTGTTCATATAATGTCATGAAAGATAAGAATATGACAGATAAAACTATATTATAATCCTATTATTAGATAATGTTTCCTAGTCTATCTACCAAAAAATAAGAGTAATTCTCTTTGAAGGACTTGAAAAACAGAGTATTCTTTCAAAGAAACCAAGATCAGATGCAAAGAAATAAAACAAACAAAAAAATATATTAGCAGGTTAGCAACTGACAAATTACTGAGGTTTGCTTCCCTCTGTGTGAACGTGGAGGCGAGTATTAGATGTTCTAATCTGAAAGTCCTGTGAATTTTAGACAAAAGCAAAGGAATAGAAGACAGAAAATGTAAGGAAGATTGACACAAAAACAAGGGTAAAATATTTTCATGAAACTACTAGTTCCTAAAAGACTATAGGTTTTATTCTGAACTAATACGAAAAACAAGAAACATTTCCATGTAACATGAATACCAACAAAGGCCAGAGTATTTAGAAATATGAAGCTTTATATACTTCTAGTGTGAATGACAATTTGTACAGCACATCTACACAGCAACTGGGCAACAGGCTTTCAAAAGTCTATACATTCTGACCCAGAAAATCTACTTCTAGAAATAGCATCTAAGGAAGCTATTTCCAAGAAGTATACAGCAATCAAAGAGCCATCCACCTCAAGTCTCTTAAATGCAGTGTTGTTTACAATAGCAAAAACTAAAAAACAAATATGTTCTCTAGTAACATTTTTTGTGCAGAACAAGATTTGTTGTCTTGTAAAATTGTCCATGACATATTATTAAATGGGAATAGATTTTTTAAAAATATGTCCTTTAAAATCCAGTGTTCAATACTGTCTAAAATATCAGGAGATAGCTTCATAAATTTTAACTGATAACTGGATTATGCAAAAATTTTAAGAAATTTTTAATTTTTGTGGATTTGTTCATGGTTTTTAACTCTTTTCACATTACTAATATGCCACTAGGAATTAAAAAATAAAAGATATACTAAGACTAAAATATATATGCTTTTATAAGAGTTCACTAAAAACAAAAATTAAAAGTTTTTGCCTATGACACGATTTTAAATGTAAAATTAAAAAATACAGATTAAAGTGTGAGAAGTAATAAAAGACCTGAATATGGTTGCTGAATATGACTCATACACAAAATCAGTTGCATTTTTATACATAAGCATACTTAACTAGGAAATAAAATTTTAACCACTTGATTTTTATAATACTTCTGGAAATCCCAAATAATTAGTAGGAATAAAGTTATAAAAAGATGAAGGAGGCCATAGCACAAACCACACACACAGTTTATATCTTTGTATAAAGGAAAAGATATAAAAAATAAAGGGTTTTTAACATTGAAGGGACTGGCGGACATAAAGATGTCAATTCTCCCCAGGTTAATCTAAAGATTTAATATAACACCAATCAAAAATCCCAGGAGGTATTTTGGTAGTGGATATTGATGAAATGATGCAAAATGTTATAGGGAAATGACTAGAGCCAAAAATAAATGAGGCAATCTTCAATAAGTACAATATTGATAAGCTTTCACTCTTCACTTTAATGGCAAGGCACATACCAGACAGATAGACAAAGGTAACAAAGCTTAAATTTTAGATACAAGTGCACTGTATATAAACACTGGATATATAACATCAATTACATGTGAAGAAAAAATACTGTTCAATAAACATTGCTGGGACAAATGGACACACATACAAAAAAAGTGTACATCATTGCTAAATGTCAATTTTAAATGGATCAATTAAAATGGACCTAAGTATGAAGGGTAAAACAATGCATGTTTTT